CGAATGACGCATAACTGCAATTAATACATCTCTTGAATATAATTTAAAAAATGATTTGAAGAACTGTATTGCATTCAACTTAGCCGTTGGCAAATCTATAGCTATCACAGATCTTCCACAATTGCAGTTTTCATACGTTTTGTTTCACCTAACTTCGTTGTTAATGAAGAATTATTAGATTTAGTAGCACTTCAAGAGTCAACCCGCGGTGTCAATATTAAAAATGCATTAGATTCCACAATGAAAACTTTTGATGTGCCTCTTAAGAAACTTGTAAGCACTGCAAATGATGGAGCTTCAGCAATGCTGGGTGAAAAAGTTGGTCTTATTGGGCTTTTAGAAGAGATGATTCTCAAATTCCACAATTCATACCAATTCACTACATAATTCACCGAGAACATCTTGTTACAAAATATTTAAAATATCCTGATGTTATGAAAACAGTGTTACACATTGTAAATTACATTCGCACCAATGCAAAAAATCATTGACAATTCGAAAATTTCCTTGAAGAATAAGAACAAAGTACAAAGTACTTCCAAATGACATTCATTTCTTTTCCATTGTTAGATGGTTATCTAGCTACAACATATTAAATCGATTTGTAGATTTGTTTGATCTGATAACTGCATTTCTAAAAGAAAAGGAAATAACCTATCCAGAATTAGATGACGATGAGTGGTTACAAGACTTGATGTTTTTGACTGATGTCATGGAACATTTGCAAACACTGAATTTACAATTGCAGGGGAAAGATAAAATAATATCTGACCTCTCACAGTTTATATTTAGTTTTCAAACTAAATTACAACTTTTTCAACTTTTTATTTTTTTATTTACATAAAAAATAAAACATTCTGTCACTTTCCTCGAATTAAAAAAATATGTTCCAATATTAAACAAGAAAAACTCAACAAGTATATAAAAAAGCTAGAAAGAATATTGACGGAATTCCAAAATAGCTTTCAAGACTTGAAATATTTTAATCGTCTCTTGATTTTTTTTCTGAATCCATTTGAAATTAACATAATTCAAGGTGAGTTTACCATTTCCAATATAACTGTGACCCAAAAAGCATCTGGAGAATTAGTATTAATAGAGATGCAAGAAGATCAAACAATTAATATATAAGTCGATGCTGATTATTGGAATTTGTACCAGAATCAAAGTATCCTGAATTTTAAAAAAAGCTGCTTGTCGAATTATTTCAATATTCGGAACAACATACTTATGTGACACATTTTATTCCCCTTTAAAATTTGTGAAATCCAAGCACCAATCAGTATTAACTAATCAGCATCTTAAAGAATTACTGAGAAGTGCTGTCACCAATTCTTCACCAAATTTTAAAGAATTATCAAGAGAAGTAATATAAATGTGTAATATTTAAATTCAATACACATATTTTGTACTTTTATTTATGTTTCCAATAAATATAATTTCTGTAAAAAAAATTTTAATACCTTTTAAATACATATTTAATTGCGGCTTGCAAAAAATTTCAAATTTTGAAAAATGGCTCAAACTATCAAGGAGCTTGGCCACCCCTGATCTAGATGATAGAAAATCATACAGTAATGCATGGTCAGAAATGCTTTCCTAGCACAGTAGTGACAACACAAAACACAAGAAAGGAAGGACACGAACAGAATGAGAAAACATATTTACTATGCTTAGTACAGCAAAAACAAACAAACAAACAAACAAAACAAAAAAAAGAATAGACAACGAGAATCATTAAAGAAGGTGTTTGGAATTACAACCCCGGGTAGTGATGGAGGCCTCACATTTCTGGAGCATGGAAGATCTGATGTTCTGGAAAATACAAGGCATGTCCCAGACTTCCCCAGCTGCAGCTACGATACATACAATAAATTCCTCAGCACTATTAATGGGGGTTTTGTATACCAGTGTCTTGACATACCCCATCTAAAGGAAGCTATCAAGGAGAGTAAGGTTTGACAATTTTGCTAACCAATGCAATGGACTATTCTTGCCAATCCAATGTCGAGGATTTGTTTTGGTGTATGTAGTGCCATCTACCTCGTACACCAGCCAAAGCTGTACTAAGCATAATAAACATGTTTTCTAACCCTGTTCATGTCCTTCTTATCTTGTGTTTTATGTTTTCACTATCATGCCAGCGTTTCTGACCATACACTGCTACGTGATTTTCCATCATCTAAGTGTACTATATCTTCCCTAAAAGTTTGTAACCGTTATGATGAATCTCCCTGTGTGTGTATATATATGTAGTTCTGTGATACATATATGATATTTATGACATATTATATTTATATGATTCTGCAAATTGATCAGCTTCATAAGACAGCACCTTTAATGATCAGAAGTAAAGTCAATCCTTGCTTAATCATTTATATGTCAAATAAAGTTAGATTCCTCCTTCCATTATCAACAAGATACAGGACAAATACAGCTATTACACATCGGGAAATTTTGTTTCCCACCTCTCTTGATATGTTTCTGTTTAAGAACACCTTACATCTGCTATGTCATCTCCTTTATAACCTCCACAGACTGTTACAGGCTGAGGCTGTTTCTCCAAGTTTCCTCCACCAGACCCCATTCGATGCAATAGCCTTCCATCAGTTAACTCCAATTAACCTTAAATCTTGCTTGATATCATCTATCCGTCTAGTGGGTGGTCTTCCTTTTCGTCTTACTTCATATCTGCTACATGCTCTTTCATAAATATGTCACTTTCATCGTTCAGCACAAATCTGATCCCTATATTTCAATTAAGCAATTACTCAGTAATTATTCTGAATTTTCAAGTTAATTATTTTTTCTCTGTGTGCTCACAAAGAAACTCAAAATAAACCTGAACAGCCCCAGAAATAAGCAATCCACAGTAATATACTTATTTTTTCACTTAAACAGATTGTTTCAAAAATCATTTCAACTCGACCAGTAAATGAGAAAAAAAATTGCACAAAAACTAAACCGTAATTAATTAAAAAAATTTTCATAATTTTTTTCAAATCAATGTTGATAAGAAAACAAATAAAAGCCAGCTTAACACAAATATAAACACATGGTTGTAATCATAAAAAGAAACATATAACTATAAAACAAGTTTAAAATATCACAGCTAAACAACGCCTCTATAATATTTATTTCATTACAATACATTTTATATGGAAAACTTTTACTGCAATTCTCAGCATAAAGTAATCAAGGAAACTGCTTTGATACTTCAGGTTGTCTTACATTTCATTAAATAAAGTGACACATTTACACCATGCATACATTACTATATAATGCTTATGGAATAATAGCAGTAATTAAAAGCAAGACAGAAATGCCTCATTATTTTTAAACTGTATGTAACCAGGTATGTAAAAGAAACATAATAATTATACAACAATGCATGTAATACAATGCACAAATTTATTTCAACTTCTAGTTATTGAAGATTTTATAGGTCACTGCCCTTCAGTGGCCTACCTAGAATTTAATTTTGGAGTTTTCAATCACCATTATATTGTCAAAACTACCATTGTTAAATTTTTATTTATAATTTTGCCATTTAAAAATTGAACTTAATCTAATAATAATATATCTGCAAATATGTCAAATTATTTAAATACGCATCATTCATTCAATTACATTTGTACAGTCAGATACTGAAAATCTGCCAACCTGAAATCCACCAACTCCTGAAATCCGCGTTGCCACTCAAAATATAAACATTTAGTTTATAGGTTCCAGAAACTACAACATGGAGTACGAAATATCAAAGAAAAAATACATACTGGACAATAACGTCATAATTACTGAATAATAATGAATCATAACGAAAATAGCAAATTATTGACATCATGATAAGAGTTCCCCCCCCCTCCAATCTGCATCGAGGTAAAAAAGCAGATGATTAACTTTCTTTCAAGTTCACGCTTCACGTTGTTGTGCTTTCTGAGCTTTGTTATTTCACAAGATTGTTTAGTAAGGCCGTTTCTTTTAATCCAGATATTTTGTGGATATATTAAGTATATTTTAATTTTCAGCCCTTTTTAATACAATGACAGATAAGAAACGCACTCGTGATTTTACTGCGTGCAATGCTGGAAAACGTAAACACGTTGCATTGACGGTAATGAAAAATGTGGAAATTCTGCTAAAGATAGAGGCAGGCGCTACTGCTCGGTTTATAGCAGAAGCGTATGGAATTGCCACAGGGACTGTGTATGATATAAAGAACAATAAAGAAAAGCTGTTGAAATTTTACAGCAACAGTGATTTTAACACCAGAATCCGAAACCGGAAATCTTTACGTGAGGCAAAATCGGCAAACCTCGATGCTGTCTTGTACAAGTGGTTCCAGTAACTGTGGAGTGATGGGGTACATATTTCAGGTCTACTCCTGAGAGAAAAGGGGAAGCAGATTCATGCTGATTTAAAAATAGAGGTGTCTAATGTAAATGAACAATATAATATAATCAGTTTATATATGTAATAATTTAATAAATATAATTAATTATTGTATTAATGTATATAATAATTTAATTAAAGGTATCTAATACGCCTTATTTATTTTGCACTTTGAGTCTGAATATTATCTTTTCTGCCCTGAAATCCACAAAATCCTAAAATCCGCACAATCTCTGGTCCCAAGCGTTGCGGATTTCTGGACTTCTACTGTATTATGTTACTAATGAGGAAAGTTCAATAAAATACCAGTTAACAGTACAAAAATACTGGCGTTATTTTATCAGGTCAAAGATATTCCTAAAAGCTCTTTTTAAATTTACAAAAAACTTAGTTTTTTATATTAACATTAATATATTTTTTAACATTAAATATATTAACTTATTTGTTTAAAGGAATGCTTAAATCTTTTTTATTTACACACTTTCATATATATATATATATATATCCAACAAACATAATCCATTTAAATGGATTTAACATTTACTACTACAAAATTTTTCCATGTTATGACTAGAAAAGTAAGAATGAAAAGATATATATATAAATACCTATAAATGTCACTGGCTTTCCAACTGTTCCTCTAGGAATTTCTTTCACTTTAATTTGCTTGAGATCATAAACTTTTGTGATAAATGGGCTTTCTCCTACTGGACTACTGTTTACAAGTACATGAATACTGTATTCACCTGAAAATACAAGTTACAAAATACATTTTACACACAAGACAAAATTAAATCAAAAACAAGCAATACAGTGCACATATGCCACCAAAGAAACAAATCTAAAAAAAATCAAACCTGTTTTCAGAGGGGAGAACTCAACTTTCACTGCATTTTCAGGTAAATCTTTAATTTTGTACGGAATATTACTTCCATCAGGACCTACAAAATAGGTTGTAATCAAAACAATTTCTCATATCACTAATATACACTCTTTTTAAAAGCTAATCCAAATATTGTAATGTAAAGAATTCAAAATTATTTTGAAAAAAAGCTTTTTCTTAGTTTTATAGCATAATTCAACAATATTCTGAAGAGGGAAACATAATCACTCTGTTATGAACATATAAAAACTTTCACAAATATAGCTTTATAGCATTATTTAAAGATAAAACATACATTTATTCTTAAAACCTTACCTTGAATCTCAATGGAGAAATTAGGGTTATCTGATGTAACACCATGAACAATAAAGCAAGCAGTTTTGTTTATAGCAGCAGCCACAAGGTTTGATCCAGACACAGACACTTTGCTAGGAGATTCTACTAATTTCACCTTAAATGGACTACCTTAAATATATATATATAAAAAAAAAAAAAAAATAAAAAAAAAAAAAAAAAAAAAAAAGAGAGAGAGAGAGAGACATTATAAAAAGGGGTAAAAAATATTTTAGTCATTACATTTTTCTAAAATTATGTAATGCAAAATTTTAACCATACATTATCTTATTTAATTTATAATATGTATTACAAACATCCATATTATTACTGGTATGTTTTAAAGAGAATTTTATTTCTTTTGTCCTAGTGGAAATTTTGTGGCAATTACATTAAGAACAATATCAAAGCAATAGTTCCTTTTAGCAATTTTGTGGTAAGGTAGTATATTCTCAGAGAAATTTTACGGCAATTTATCCCACAAAAAACACTTTTAAAATTGAATTTTACAATCTGATTGTAAAAATATTTGAAAGACAACAAAAAGAATATATAAGAAAGGCATTGCTAAAGTAAATGATTGTTATGCTTGTAGCTGCTTGAACAACTATTATGCTCATGGTTGACAGCTTGGCGAATTCTCAATATTTGGCAACTTGTACTAAAGTAGTTTCACTAAGATGCAGTACCCATAGACATTGCTTGAGGTTCAACGATGACCCCTAGGCATCATTGACTTTATGATTAATCATAAATGTGCATTTCCCTGGACTAAAACTCTTTTAAAATATTTTAAAAGTTCTGAGATGTAAACTGCCTATTTTTAAGCTGATGCAACATGAATAAGATTGATGAAACTAAACTCTGATTTGAAAGTTTCCTATAATAAATTAGTGATATGAACTGTTTATTAAAGCAAAAGATTAAAACAAATGTTTAGCTTAGCCTCCTTTAGTATGAAAATGCATCAGATTTATTAAGGTGGGGGATACAGTTTACTTAAGTATAAAAATGTACTAAGTGTACAATGTATCATACTCTGCAATGACCACACAGAGATAATTGTGTATTAATTTGCCCAGTTTTTGCTTATTCGGGCCATAAATTAAGGAAACTGGTTTCCAAAAATTAAGGAAAAATCATAAAAATAACAATAACTCATTCAAAATTAAGCCAATCTGCATATAATTTGAATATGTTGTCAAATAAGAATTGCTGAGTGAAACTGCAGCATGCAAATTAATGGTATTGGTGAAGTATGTAAGGCACTGCAATCGAAATATGTCACCTGCGAGGAGCATAAAATTGCATGTTTCAGAGCAAACCTGCAAAATTTTGATGTGATACTGAGATAAGAAATTTAGGATTGCCAATGTGTCACGATGACGCCTAGGCATCATTTGCCTGAGGAACTGCGACGGAGAGCTACTGGTAGACTAGAGACAGGATAAAGTAAGACAGAAGTAGCCAGATGATTAAATGTGAGTCCTGTGGTTCACAAACTTTAGCAACAATTTCTAACTACAGGTTCAGCATTCAGGAAGTTCAGCCCAGGATGGCCAACCACTATGACAAGTATTGATGATTATAATGGCAGGTACTGATATTTGTTGTTATGCACATGAAGGAATAAAACCTCAACTACTCAGATCATCCCTTGCTACAGCCACAGAAAGATTGGGTCAATGTCAACTCTGCATAGAAGGCTTCACAGAGGAAGTCTGTACACGAGACAACCAGCCATTTGCATGCCACTCACATCCCGTCGTGAAAGGAAACGTTTGAGGTGGGCATGTAAACATCCACTAGACAGCTGATCAATGGTGGGCTGTTCTCTTTACGGATCAGTCCAGGTTTAGCCTCCAAAGCCATAGTAGGTGTTATTTGATTTGGAAAGAACCTGGAAAGTGTTAACCATCAAATATCCATGAAAAAGATGCATATAGAGGAGGCAGTGTCTGTGTTTGGGGTGGTATCTCTTTGGCACAGATCTCCATGTCTTTTCACATGGAATCATGAATGCTCAGGCCTATAAAGATGATATCCTTAATGTTTATGTGAGCCCTTATTGAAGAATAAAGATACCAAAATTTAACTTACCTTTTGTGCACTCAGCAGAGCAGTAAACTTCTGAAACTTAATTAATGTTATGGGGAATATATTAGGTGATAAAAGATGCAGATTTAAACACTAATAACATATGTATTCTGCTGTAACTAAAATAATATAAGCAACAAATACATTAATGTTAATACAAGCACATACAGAAGCTTAATAGTAATAAAGAACAAGAGGATAATGGGATAAAAAAAATATTATTGTGTGGTTGACGTGCACACCTCTTGGCATTTCTATGGTTACCAGAAGTGAGTTAAAAAAGTGAGTGGAATTTTATTTCTACTCAAATGCCTGATTAATTTACAACAATCCCTCCTTTAATCATGCATTTGGGAAATGTTCGAAATCAGACTTAGCTCACTTCTTAATTTCAGAAATTTTGGTTTTGGCAATAACTTAGTAAAAATGTCTGCAATCATAGAATTTGTATTGGTGTGTATGTGTATTTAATTATGGCAAAGCACACTAGGGCTATCTGCCTAAGGGGAGGGATGCCTTCGTGGAGGACTTTCTAAGGGGAACTGGGTCGTATACACGTTACACATGGGGAAAACCACGAAAACACCCATGCAGCCAGCTCGTTCGCGGGATTCGAACCTCGGACCGAACTACCAGTGTTCAGCAACTTTACAGCTCGGCCGTTGGTGGGCAGAATTTGTATTGGAGTATGTTATCTCGATTATTTTATTTTCTTCCATTTCTCTTAAAAAGAAATATTTAACTTTAATATGCTTTAGCCTGGCATTCATTTCTCCCTGTTTTATAAGAGCTATTGTGGACTTATTGTCATCAAATATCTTAATGAGTAGTTTTTGAGGTAGTCCAAAATCTTTGCGGAGATCTAAAATCCATTTGACTTCTTGAGCAGCAGTAGCTGCTGAAATAAATTCGGATTCAGTAGATGATAAGGAAACACCATTTTGCCTCTTTGTGGACCATAATATTGGACCGATTCCTAAGAAAAATAAATTTCCACCGATTGGTCTGGTGGTTAAATCAGATCCATAGTCAGCATCCGTATAACAGGAAAGTGTTGGTGGGCTATCAGAGTCAATTTTCAGGCAAATGTCCTTTGTAGAATTCAGGTACTGAATCACTCTTAGAACTGCTTTCCATCCTTATCATTTGGAGATTCATTTTCCCTGCTTAACAGATTCACTGCAAGGGTAATGTCCAGTATGGTTACAGTGGCTATGAATAATAAGGCTCCAATGGCTTGCCTGTACTTGGTATTCTCCACTGGTGGAGATATGTCATCTGCCTTTGGATAAGAAGTATCCATTGGTATGTAAGATGGTTTGTGGATATCTGGGCAAAATATCTTCTTCGATTTTTCTATTTTTGATTTTTGACTCAATAGGAACTTGTTTTCATCTCTTTTGCTGTTCATTCCTAAGTAGCTTTTGATTTCTCCTAAGTCTTTTGCTTTGAAGAATTCATTGAGAGATTTGATTAGGCTTTTGATTTTTTCTTCACTTTTGCATGCTACAAAGATCTAATCGACATAGACAATAATATATTATCATGTCATTTCCCTCTTTCTTTAAAAACAAGCATGGGTCTGTCTCTGTGAAAAGTTACTGTTCTTTAATACTTTGACTTTTTTATTGCATGCTCTAGCAGCTTGCTTTAATCCATAAAGAGCTTTTTTTCAGTTTGCAAACCTTTACTTCTTGTCACGATTGAACTGCACCATCTGGCCGTTCCAAGTATATTTCTTCTTCTAAATTTCCATGTAGAAATGCTGTATCGACATCTACATACCTCACATGCATTTTACCATGTGCTGTGACAGCAAGAAAAGTTCTGATAGTTGTATGTCGAACTACTGGTGTAAAGGTATGACCATAGTTAGTTCCAAATTTTTTACTATAACCTCTACCGACTAGTCATGCCTTGTAACGAATAACTGTTCCATCTTCATTTTCTTTCAGATTGAAAATCCATCAACAATGGGTTTCTTTCCTGCAGGAAGTTCAACCAGTTCTCAAGTTTTATTTTGGGATAAGGAATTGATTAGTTCGTCAACTGAAAGTAACCACTTTTCCTTTTCTTCGGGATTCAACTTATCTAAGCCTTAAAAATTCTCCGGTATGGTTCTGATGGTGTTTAAGATACCTAGGTGTTCTGGTGGTATTCCATTTGTTTTCCTTTCTGATCGTCTTGGCTCTTCTTTGGATTGAATTTTGTGTTTTTCTTCAGTTTCTTCGTCATTTTCCACGTTTCAACCTTTGGATGGAGAGAAATTTCAATGTTTTCATTGGCTGATAATTCTTCGACAAATTTTACACTTCTACTAATGATTATATGGTTTTCACCTGTGTAGATTCTGTACCCCTTTGATCGTTGATCGTAACCGACAAAACTTCCTTCAATCACTTTCTGGTCTAATTTTTTACAGTTTTCCTTATGTACATATGCATAGGCTGTGCAAAGAAATCGTTTCACATGCGCTAGATTAGGTTTTCTTCCACTCCATAATGCATATCGAGTCTTATCACAAGCTCTAGTTGGAAGGCGGTTCTGGATGTAATTTGCTGTTTTGACAGCTTTACTCCCAAAATTGTCTGAAAGTCGGTCTTGGGACAGCAGGCCCTGGTCATCTCAGTAAGACTTCTATTTTTTCTTTCACTCACACTGTTCTGAGGAGGTGAAAAGGAAACAGTCAATTGATGTTTGATGCCATTATTTGATAGAAATTCCTCCATTTCCTTGCTGCTATATTCACTGTCGTTATCAGTTTGAAGAGTCTGTATGGTTCTTCTAAATTTATTTCTTGTTATTCTGACAAAGTCTATTAATTTACTAAGAACTTCATTCTTTTTAGCTAGTAAATAGATGACAGTGTATCTATAAGGTTACAAAATAGTTTTTCACCAATACTTGGAGAAGGCATAGGCCCGCAAGTATCACTATGTACGTACAAGTTCCAGAGGTTTTCTTGTGCAAACACTAGCAGCTTACGGCTAAGGAATTTGCTGCATTTTATTCTTTATGCATTCTGAACAGCTTTCATTATTATGAGTGCAATTATCTAATTTTATTCCTTCTGCACTTACCAATTGCCTGATTGAATCATAACTTCGATGACCTAACTTAGAATGCCATATTTGTATACAGTTTTTATTTTTACATTCAACTGCAAAATTAGCACTTTCTGGATTTTTTATTAAAAAATTATATATAAACTATCATCGTCAGAATATGCACGCATAATTATTTGGCTATTCTTTTTTATGTAACACTTTCCTTTTTTGAAAGTAACAGAATACCCCTTACTAGCAATTTGCTTAAAGAAAATCAAGTTGCTCTTTAAATCAGGAACATAATAAGCATCAGTCGATGAAATTTTCTGTAATCCACATTCATCTTCTAAATCAAGGTCAACAAATCCTCTGCCCTGCAAATATAAAATTTTTTCATTCGGTAAAATTATTTTTGCTTGAGAATTCTTATATATAAGTTTCTGTAAACAGACTTTTATCTCCTATTAGATGACTGCTCGAGCCGCAATCAATGTACAATTTTTTTTATTTATATTTTGTTCTGAGTAATGGACCAAGGAGTTATTGCAACAATGAAGAGAACATATTGAACCAAGCTGCTAATGACCAAAACTGAAGAAAGTTATGATCTGAAAGAGTTTTGGAAACACTACACAATCTTGGACAGCATCTACGATATTGCATCTGCATGGGACTCAGTGAAACCGTCAACCCTAATAAAATCATGGAAAAAACTCATGCCTAATGTTAAAGCCAACAACAACCTAACCCCTTTGAGTTGTGAAGAAGTGAATGAAGATGTAGACACGCCCACGGGCGACTCTTGCCGATATGGTGAAAACAGTTCCGAGTGGTGAGAACATTGATGCTGAAAACATTAACGAGTGATTGGAGTGTGACGTCAACGAACCTGGCTTCGAACGCTTGACAGATGACGAAATTGTGAAGAAAGCAAGGGGAGAGACCGAGAATGAAGGACAGCAAAATGAAGGCGGAGAAGAGCCCACTGTGCAGATGTGGAAGACTGACGAAGCGGCTTTGCAACAAGTCGACAGACTGCTGAGCTATTTGGAAGAACAAGACGATGCGGAGTCGGCCGAGAAACTTATGCTACGAAAAATGCAATCTCGGATCAAGAGAAAATGCTTCCAAAGCAAAAAGCAAACACAAATGACTGATTTCTTCAAAAAGGTGTAGTTTTACAGTTATGCTTTTGTAATTACATAATACATTACAGTATTAAAACCGTACATATGTATTAATTTTTCTATGTATCCTTGACGCCTCTCATAAGTACAAAGCACTTTTCTGTTTTCATTAACAAAATGCATTTTAGGTTAGTTTTGAGTGATATACTAAAATATTAAGCTTTAGTTAAACATTTCCTGCTGTTTATTTTATGTTTTATTGTACATAAAACGATTTTTCAAAGTTGGAATTACTGTTTCTCTTTTGCAATACCCGTTTTTAGCTTTTTTCGGCTTATCTGCGTTTTTTGTTATCCGCGGCAGTCGCGCCACCCAATTCCATGGATAATCGGAAGTGTAATGTAGCTCATGCTTGTTTATCCCTCCTTAAAAATTCATCATCAGGATTAGATGGTGGGGGAAAATAAAAATCATCTAACCCATCATGCATTGAAAGCATTTGAATCTTGAATATCTAAGTAGCATAATTTTCAGAATTCAGTTTCGTTATCTGTGTGCAATCTTCAATTCAGTTTCATTATCTGTGTTTATCTGTGTGCAAACTGTGCCATTATTAATTCTTACTTAGCAATTTCATAAAGTTTATATATTATATGCACAGTTTAAATTTTAGTTTCAGGATTTACGACTATCAGGCTCAATAAAGAAAAAAGACAGCAAAATTTAGATTACTTTTTGTGCACTCAGCAGTGCAGTAAATCTCTGAAACTTAATTGATGTTATGAGGATATATTAGTTGAAGATGTAAATTTAAACACTAATAACATATTTATACTACTTCAACTAAAATAATATAAGCGACAAATACATTAATGTTAATACAAGCACATACAGAAGCTTAATAATAATAAAGAACAAGAGGATCATGGGATAAAAAAAATATCACATGTTTGACGTGCATGTGTCTCGGCATTTCTATGATTACCAGAAGTGAGTTGGAAAAAAACATTTTATTTTATTTCTGCTCAAATGCATGATTAATTTACAACACTTATGGCTAGGCAATGTGTGATAATTTCCTACTACAGGATGACATTGCTAGACCACACAGGGCCCACATTGTAGATGATTATCTTCAGCAGCAAACAATTAAGCACATGGAATGTCCAGCTTGATCACCAGATATGAATCCTATTGAGCATATTTAGGATGTTTTAGGAAAATGTATTGCTGCTCTCAATCCTCCTCTTTAAACCTTTGTAACATTTGCAACTCCTTTGCAAGAGCAATGTTTCTAACTTCTTACGAAACAGATAGACAGCATTACCGACAGTATTGCACATCGCTGTACATGTTGTACTACATCTAGGGGAGATCATACTCCATATTAAAGGTAATTTTCCTACAACAACTGACAAATTCAATTTGTTCATTTCATACATATGTTGATTTCTATAACATCATAATTGTCTTGTAATTTCTTTTCATGGTACTATACATTACTATACATTGTATCCTGTGGGTCAATTTCATATTAAAGGTAATTTTCCTACACCAACTGACAAATTCAATTTTTTCATTTCATACATATGCTAATTGCTATAACATCATAACTGTCTTGTAATTTCTTTTCATGGTACTTTATACATTACTATACATTGTATCATGTGGATGAATTTCATTAAATTTTACAAGTAACTTTTTAAGTAATCCTCTTTTTGAAATTTTTTCTTAATTAATGATAACCATTTTTCTTCTTCACCATTCTAATAAATCGCAATAAAACATTTAGGTTTTTTTAAATAATAAAAAAGTAGCAAACCTGGCACAGCTTCTTTATTGAATGAAATACTGATGAAGTGATCAATCATTTCTGATGGTATAAATGAAACTGCAAACTTTGCACTGCCTAAAGGATGAACTTGAGTTGGAATATTACGTCCTTGCCCACTGACAGTGATTTCTAAATTACCTTCACCAGCATGACTTGCATCCACTACACAGAATTAAGAAAAATACAGGTAAGTAGCACATACATAAAATATATTTGGAATTTTTAAATATGAAGAAAATTTTAACAGATTACAGAAATTAGAAAAAAATCCAATTATTTAATTCTGTGAACTCAACATAGTACTTCAGACAAATATAAAAAGAAACGATCATATGTATATGGAAAAGACATGCAGCAGGGATGTTATAGATTAATGTATAGTATGTGTATAAGATATAAAACTATGTAAATCAAAATTGTAACTTAAATTAGCAATAGCGCTTTAATCAAATAACCATTTAAATTTGGGTATTTCCCCTCTCTATGCTAAAATTGTAATTCTAAACCTTTATTGTGTTACTCTAAACAATGTTGTTTCTATATTAATCCATAATATAAGACTTTCACATAATGATGATGATGTAGTTAACTTGAATTGAAACCTTTCTCTCAAATTAAGCTTCCATATTGAATAATTGCATACTTCGCTTCCCCTCTTTAGTCTATTTAGAACTACAATTGTGATGCTCATTTCTTATTGCAAACGATATAAAAAAATGTAAATGTTGTGGAACAGGCATGATTAATGTGCAAAGTATTTTGTCGCTGCCAAATACTTGACTAAAACAAAATGAATATTTAAAATCTGCCATTACTGCAAGCTTCTACTTTTTTTATACATCTATCTTCTATCTATGATACCACAAATATGGACATGTTTATTCTACATTATTGATTATTCATTATTTTGTGTTTCAACATTCATCTGTGTCATTCCCAAATCATCATATATAGAAATGAATGAATACAAAGTAAAAAGCACTTTAAAACTTAATCCAATTTTGCACTGACAGCTGCAACAACTGTTCGCAATATAGCAAAATAATAATAAAATTAAGAAAAAAATTTCAAATTGATTCAAACCATTAGGTTCAAAGTCATGAAGCACAATGGTCAACTGCATAAGGTGAAAACCATAAATAAAAACTGTAAAAGAAAAGAAAAAATTATTTACTCAGACTTTTATTATCAGTAAATTGCATTTTACGGTTTTCATCTTTGGTTTACACTGTTTTTGCACCTTAACATGCAGTTTGTCGCTGTGCTTCATGATTTGCCTCCTGGTTAAATACTGAATGGATTTGAAAATTTTATTTTAATTTCATTTTTATTTTGCCTATACAGTGGTGGCCAAAATTGTGGACACTTTAGGAAATTTTTATGTTTTTGAACTTTGTATGCTTATAGAAAATGTTACGTTACGCAAAATGCAAACTTGTATATATCATTTTAAAGAGAATTTATTACTGAATTCAATACAAAACACAAAATGCAATTATTTGCAATATAAAAAATGTTATATGTACTTTGATATAAATAAAAAACACAGTTATGAAGTGGTTTTTAATGTCTAGCTTTCCTGGCCAATCACTGTTCTTGTTCTGAGAACCAATCAAATGTTAGTAACTGCCAGTAGAAGCTGACATCATGTTTACACTTGAAAACAATTCTTATTTTGCTTTGTTTCTGTAGAAGGAGGACCTGTTTCTTATACACCGCAATTACAAGTAGGAATTTTTGTAAAAAATTTTTAATATTAGTCAAAAAGCAATGACAATAAATAAAAGAGTAGATTGGACACCTAGAAAGAGATGTAATATTATTGTGTTACGAGAAAGTGGTCTTTCCTATGCTGAAATTGCAAGACAGGGGGTGGTTCATGATTACATCTGGAGTCCAAAAGTTTTGTTTACGATATCATGAGACAAATTCAATAAAAAACAAAGAAGGAAAAGGCCGAAAAAGGTGCACCACATCTATTGATGACAGAAGAATAAAAAGACTATGTCTCCAAGATAGAAAAATGTCATCAGTGGCCATCAGAAGTGATCTGAATGATGCTGGTGTTTCTGTCAGTTCAAGAGCAATCAGGAGAAGATTAACAGATGTTGGACTGAGAGGTAGAATTCCTTGAAAGAAGCCTTATCTTAATTTTCAGCAACGAAAAAAAAGGCTACACTGGGCAAAGGAACACATTAATTGGACAGATGATCAGTGGTCACAAGTTATATGGAGTGATGAAACTAAGATATCGTTATTCCGTAGTGATGGGCGAAAATATGTAAGAGGTAGAATAGAACAGCTACATCCTGACTGCATTCAAGCAACTGTGAAGAACCCAGTTAGTGTTATGATTTGGTCATGCATGTCAGCAGATGGTATTGGTCGCCTTCATGTCATCGATGATACACTGAATGCCAGAAAATACATTGACACTATTCTAGAACTAAAACTTCTACTTTCCATCAGAGATCTCTTTCTCAACAATGCTTCGTTTATTTTTCAGCAGGATTCTGCTCCTTGCCACACGGCCAAAATATAGAAAGAGTGGTTTCGTACAAAGAGCATTAAATTGTTGTCATGGCCAGGAAACAGTCCTGACCTCAATCCTATCAAAAATTTGACCTTAATCCTATTGAAACTTTGTGGCCCCATTTGAAAACTCTTGTCCGAATGAGGCGCCCATCAAATAAAAGGAAACTAATTGAGGCTATAATTGTTTCCTGGCATCATGTAATAATGAAAGAAGAGCTTAAAACTCTTGTCAGCTCAATGAAACGTCGATGTGAAGCTGTAATCAAAAATAAAGTGTACTGTACTAAGTACTGATAACTCACTGCAAACATCATTATCTAATGTCTATCGATAACTATTATCGTTTAACTTTTTTTGTATTGCAAATAATTGAATTTTGTGTTTTGTATTGAATTCAGTAATAAATTATCTTTAAAATGATATATACAAGTTTGCATTTTCTGAAACATAACGTTTTCTATAAGCATACAAAGTTCAAAAACATAAAAATTTCCAAAAGTGTCCACAACACACACATATAAAGGAAAAAAACATACCAGTAAACTGATAATTTTTTCCCAATGTTCCATCACCAATTTTGCTAACTTTCACCTGTAATGCATCGTACACTTTAATAGTATATGGAGAGCTGATATCCTTCCTTCCACCATATTCAATGAACAATAAATGTGGACCTAGAAATATATAATAGATTCAAAATCATGCATATTTTGACATGTATGAATTATATGTTCAGTATTGCAAAGTAAACTTACTAGGATATACACCTAAAAATCTACAAAATATATAATTGCATTCCAGGTATTTTTGGATTTTCAAGAAAATTGTGAATAAATTTGTAACTCTCACACTGTGTCCAAAAAAGTCCTTATGCAGCTGTTATTTTATGACCACTGGTCATACACAAATACACCTAATCATAAAAATACTTCAAATGAGTAAAATATTCATGTTATTTCATTTCGAAGTTTAAAAGGTCAATTTTGTAAAATTAAATTAAAAGTTTTATATGCCCCTAATACCTCAAGTAGTATTTAGTACAACTTTCTACTCATTCTAAAACATAAAACATGAAAAGTTTGATTCCTGTGCAGCAAAAATTTATCGAGGTATTTAATTTTAAAATTTAAGATAATATTCAGAGGTCACACAAACTGAAGCAAAAATATTGGCATTCATGCATGATTAAAAATGAAATATTAGTACAGAAAAAGGTTTCTGATGTTAGTAAATTCAGAAATCAACATTGCTAAGCAGACTCTTGTGTAAAGCATAGATGAATATATATATTTATTTCAAAAGGAGGCCTTATTAACTGCATTTTACAGAACTCATAATGTAGAAAATAGTCACAGATTTCAGCACTGGTCCACTCAAAACATTACTAAATTGTCTACGACCATAGCAATAATTCCTGGTGGTTTGACAAAAAGCTTACAACCATTAAATTTGTCAGGTAATAAATCCTTCAAAGCTGAAGTCTGAAAACGGTGGGAGTGTTGGATGAGTGAAAGATTGCATATGTATACCAAAAGCAGTAAAATGCATAGAGCATCTTATGAAGAAGTTGCAAAGTGGGTAGGAAGTGCGTGGAAATAGGTGAAAACATCGTCAATAATAGCAGGGTTCAAAGAAGCTGAAATTATATCCTTAGATAAAGAGACTGTAAACCAAGAGGATGAATGTGACGATCTGAAAGACTTGGACTTAGATCAGGATTTACTAAATCGCTTTAATTCAGATAGTGAAGAACCATATTTTGATGGCTTCATATGATGTATAGTTTGCTGTAATTTCTTTTTTAAGTAAAATTTAAAATTTCCTTTTGTCATCCAAATTTAATATTTCGTTGTTGCAACATTTTTAATAATAGAGTCTGAGTATTACAAATACGGACTTCTTTGGTAGGTAAATATAAGTATATACATGAACGTAAATATATTTTCGACATTTCTTACCTTTAATTTATTTTTGAGTTATGGTTTCATTTCATGCATTTTTCTTAACTGATATGTTGTATCAGGACTTAGGTTGAGATTTTGCATCTATATGGCCCACGACGATCTCACGCGCAATTTAATCTATTGCAGCGTTTACGACGATGCGGTGTTTCTGTGTAATTTTAATTTTTTCCCGCCATTTTTCTCGAGTGCGCCGTTTACGCTGATGCGGCTTTTCTTTTGGAAATTACGGTAAGCTTTTCATGTGGCCCCACAGGAAAAAGGTTCAAACACAAGAGATTTGGTGATCTTGCTAGCCAAGCTATGGGACCACCTCAACCAATCCATTCCCCATTCCCTATGAACTTTGTATCTAAAGTGTACCCCCACATCTTAAGTGTGCAAGTGCACCATCATGCTGGAACTACATTCTCAACCTGATTGGTGGTGGTATCACACCTCTTGTAGGAATGTGTGATACGATTCGCCATCCAGATGGCGTGGCAGGAGGTATGGGCCAACCAAACAGTCATGGAGGATCCCTGGCCACACATTTATGGAGAATCACTGCTGGAACGAATCAGGATGTGTGGCATGCGGGTTCAAAGATGCCTGTCTGTGAGTTATGGGTATTAAAAACATCCTCACAGGTAAAAGTGCACTCATCTGTAAACAAAACGTGTGCACCAAAATCCTGCTGTTTAGCATTCGACGGAGGTACCAACATGCAAAATCGACACATGGCTGATAATCTGCTGGTGAAAATGCTTGTACCTTCTGTGTACGATAGGGGTGCATTTCTTCCTTTTGTAGCACACAGCAAATCGTCATTTGGGACATGTATGGAAAACCGCTCACATGCTACATCTAGGTTGATTTCTCACCCTAAGCAGAATGTCTTCTTCAAGTTGCAATGTCTTGACTCTCCTTTCATGCCCTGTGTTTTGCTTGGCTGTGGGGAAGGATCTCATTTCACACAGCTATTGATGCAAATGCTTAAATGTTTTCTGATTTGGAGTGCATCTCATCGGAAACTAGTCCCAGTAAAGTCTCTGTGCTTCACTCATATTCCCATCCACCACACCATACATGAAGTGCATATCGGTCATTTCGTGGTTCTCATAACCACCCACCCTCTTCGCAATCCACAGTAGAAAATGATGCTGAGTGCGATGACCGACCCTTTTATACCACTTACAATGGCACCTAGCGGCTCATCATTTGAGTCCTGACCATGCATTCTATGATGAATATTGCCCATATAGCTGCCTTCTATCACCCCTTAAAGTTTTGTTCACTTGTTCAGATTCAGCTTGCACTAGTATCATTGGTCTTGTAAAATACGGAGTATAAATGCACGGCCAACTATTGTAAAAATAAAGTCAGCATAAGGGCTTTTATGGCAGTGTATATATAATTTTAAATATCAAAGAATGTTATTTGAAGTACTTATTCCCTGTGGAATCAATTTTTTTTTTTTAGATCTGTATTCAGGGTACCTTGGCTCTGGAACAATGCATCACAAATTAGATACTCATTGTGCAGGCAGGAGGTGGACAATTAAGAGTTCAAATAATTTCTTTCTCCAATACTACTTTAGTAGTTTAGAAGGCCAATTTTCTCGGGATGAGCTGAAACCAACAACATTCAAGGCCAAAGTTTTCTTTCAAGTCCATAAAATGGAACGCATTCATTGAACTTGTTACTTTTGCTTTGTATGGAGTAGGACCAAAAAGAAGTGGCTCTATAGTTACTTTCATAAGCAAGAGTGGGTACATACTTTATCTAGGCATTTTCTGTTTTTTAAGGAAATGATATAAAAATGCTGAAACCTCACAGGTAATAAAAAATCAGTGCAATTTTAATCATGATAGAATTTTATTTGAAGTTTGAAGTACCTTTATGTGACAGATAATATTACTGTTTTTACACTCCGTTCATGCTAACTCATGTCTTAATTTTTGCTGCATTTTTTTACTTTTAGTATTAAAAAGTACTTCAAAGGTTTAACTTTTATAAATTTTTTAAAATCTTATTACAATCTTTCTTCTGGGGTGTCTTTGTAATCCATTTTCAAATGAATATGAATAGAATATGCCAGTTGTCAAAACAAATGCCAAAATGGTGAAAATTCCAGACAGAAACAGGCATTTGATAATCAAGATAACAATATCTTATATCTACAGTAAGCCAATCTTTACTTTGAATAATTCAGCTGCAACAAATTCCTAAGTAGCTGTATTTTGCCACTAAAATTTTGCTGTATGTCTCCCTCATGCAACCAACTAACAGTACAGGCTTGAAAAACAACTCTAGCAATAAATATCTGATGAACCAGCTTTAATACATATAGTGTAGATACTTTCCCTAGACATTATTATCTGAGACTTTTTTAAACTCTGCAAGAAATTATATCTTCGCAAGAATTAATTTCTTGAATGTTTTAGATACCATCTACAGTTAGATTGAGGTATTATGCAGCAAAAGTATAAAGAATGATTAATTTCTTTAGCCTCAAAAATTCAAAATATATTGGAGTAGAGACAACTTAAATCTTCTTTCAATGATTATGAAAGGATTTAGCAATGCAAGCATAAATGATATATCCAACACCATAAAATTACATGTAACAGAGAAATCTCCATGGTGATGATAGAGATGACTCTTAGAAAATATTTCGAGAAACAGTGAGAGATTGTTTATAATTAATGCATGTTGTTTGTTTAAAAAAATTGACGTTTTACAGTCTGCTAGAAGGAAAACATCATTTTAAATTTATAATAAATAAATACAGTCAAAAGTCGTTAATTCGGACACCCATAATCCGGACCTCAAAGCTAAAAACTTTCTGCGCATGCGCCGCGTTGGCACATGCGCACAGGCGTTTTATGCGTGCGCGTAAGACCTTGACTACTGCGCATATGCGTGTGCGCAAGTGCAGAATACGTTTTCGCCTGCGCGTTTAATGTATAACGGACGGTGTAAGCTAAAATTATCTAATTATCTATTTCAGTTAATGTTAATGATTGCGTTGTTCCTTAATCTTCGAATTGGATCCCACTTATTATTTTTTGCAGACTGTAAGAGCAATTTTATAAAAGTAAACTTGAACTTTCGATTATGTCAAATAGAATTTCCGATGCTGGAACTTCCAAAGGATCTACAAAACGAAAGTATGTTTCGATGTCCAACAAACAAAAAGTGGAATTGCTGCAAAAAATGGATAAAGACATGAAGAATGTGACAGAGAGGTTAGTGAAAAGGAAAAAATTTTGATTGACAAGTTAGTCGGTATTCTCGGCACAGCAATTAACGGGACTTGAACAGCGGAACTTTGTAACTGAACAAGAAATTATGTCTTTTTATAGAATTAAAGAGAAGTATTATATCACATAAAATGAAGCAACTTAAACAACTTACATTGAAGAAATGTTTAATAAAGTAAACAAATAAAATATTAAGCTTTTTTTTTTTTTTTGTAAATTTTGATACCCTTTAGATCATAATTGTTCTTTATTTCATAAATTACGGTTTCATATTTTTAATTTTAGAATTTCTGCATGCCATCTTACGAGATTTAAACTGATGATCTATAATCCGGAAAAATCGATAATCCGGAATCGCCTAAGTCTCGACGAGTCCGGATTAACGACTTTTGACTGTATTTATTTCATTATACACAAATAAGAGAAAATATAAAATAATTTCCTCAAAACTATATTCTAAAGCATAAACAATCTGTAATTTAATGCCAAGATAGTAATTTTATATCTATATCTATCATCAAAATTTCCATATTTTAAATAAATTCACCTACAAGATAAATCAAAAAAAGATGCAACAGAAAATGTACATTTGGATCCAGTTCTACACAAACAGCCAAGAAGGAATTCATAATAGAAGAAATCACAATGATAAACAGCTAATTAATACTTCCACATACACAAATATACATACCAACTTCTTTTGGTAAAAAGTCTCCAATAAAACCACTTTTGGGATCAGCAAACAATTTTGCAGGTATCTTCACACCAGATGGAGCTAAAATTTAATTTAATTATTAATTTAAAAAATGCCATTAAATGATACTTCAGCATTTTTAACATTAATAAAAGGTAGCTATATGGACTCTTATTCAGGGGGGAAAAATCTAAAAAGAATGTTAAGAAGAATCCTACAGTTCTTCTAATAAGTCTTAGGACAAATATGAATAATACCTTAAAATAATGCTTTTAAGAACTGGATTTTTAATGGCCAAAAGCATTTTATAGGAAGTAAAAAATGTTACCTTACTGAATTTTTTGGCATTTCGGAGAATGAATAATTGTGCGTACAAATTTATGTTTTAGATTTTCAGTAGTAGCATCAATCAAATCAGCAGAAATAAAATTTTGGAACCACGAATTTAAAACTGTTCTGAAAGTAGTGGAAAAAAGGGGCCAAATGTTACTACTGTTTTAAATCGATATTATAATAATAATTTCATCTAAATATTTCTACTGGAAGCCATGCAGTTATTGCCCAATTTAAAAACTGGAACAAGAGAATAATGCTTCAATTAAAAGAAAGAATATTTTAATTCATTACAAGCATATGAATTGATCACATAATCAAAATAATCAATACTTGAAATAGGGTAAAGAGAACTTCCTTTCAATTTGCTGGTTTATATACAATGATAAGCATCCCAATCTATATCTAAATTCAATAAGCAAAAAACCTAAACCAACTATAATTTAATTTTAAAAGAACCTAAACTGAAATTAAAACAATAAATACAGCAAACTATATCATTTATATATTTCCTCATCATTTGTTACACACAAAAAAATTCTGAACAAAATAGTTAGCAGTTCATAAATGATGCCTGTACAGAATTCTTAAGAGAAGCTTAAAAATATTTCTACACCTGCATACACTGCCTGTCAAAAGTTAAGCAACTAAGTGAAAATAAACAGAAAAGTGTATACAAAAATACACCAGTTTGGTGTTCCCAGATCATGTGGAAATGTAAAGAAAATTACCAATAAATATATAATAAAAGCAAACAAAAACAGGATTTTAGATGACCCCCAAAAAAGTTAATCTTTCAAAATGCCATAGAGTGATCTTTTCTGACATGCCCAACAGCACAGATTCATACCAAGAAAAGGATTACCTATGGTGGCTTGTATATCTGAGACCATTCACACAGCACGCATATGCTTGTAAATGTTCCAGGGATAAGGCATGGAGAAAAGCTAAAAATCTTCGAGGCGTGCTCAATAGGATTGATATGGAGATCTCAACAGCCATTCCACAAAGAGCAGGATTTCCATTCCTAAGTATTGGCCAACATAGTGAACCTAGTGGAATTGTCATTTATAAAAGTAGCATCAAGACCAATGGCCAAAACGAAGGAACTTATTGAGCAAATACATGATCTCTGTAGTGCACTTGCAATCACAGCATTGCAAAGAAATGTGAAAACTAGCACAGCTCTCAACAAAAATCTCTGCACAAATTTTAAAATCACCAACTCTTATGCATGCATTTCACAGACTTTACAGCCATCACAGTGTGTTCCCAGTATTTTCTAAACTAATAAGTTTCAGGAATCTATCTGAAGAACAACCATGAATCATTTATAAAAAAGACAATACTCCATTGCTGTGGAATCCAAATGAGATTATCTCAAGACCGGTTCAGGCAGACCCCTTTGCGCAAAGATGTCAGTTGGCAACTGACTTTTATGGAATAGTTTGCAAACAATTTGTGCAGATACAGCAGTTGTCAATCCTGCGTGGTCAGAAGCAAACTGATGAGAAGCGACTGACTTGCAATATCACACTTTCAAACACAAAAGCAATTACCCTGATTGTGACACTTGAGTATTCACCTACTGATCTTCAATACAAAATGCTTCATACTGATACCAGTTCCACAGGCAGTGGATCGTGAAATGATTGACATTTAAGGATTGCACTATTTTTGTCTGTCACTATCACTACTCAAGATGCATTATTACCTCCCATTACTAGATATCACTCAGATGGTCATCTCCTCATTTGTGAATTTTTTTTTATTTCGGTATTCTCTCTGAAGTCTATTACACAGACATATACACTCCGCATAATATAAACCACTTTAGTACATTCCATGCTAAAAAAAAATATTAGTAAGAAGTATTTCCTTTTTACAAGTCTTTTTCACATGCATACATCTATTATGCATGCAAATTTTATGACTAAGTATTCTTTTGTTGAATATGCAAATTTTCCTATGTGCTGCTTAATTTAATATTGCTCAAGTAATATTTTATATTAATGAGATGATTCCATAATAAACATTTCAAAATTGATTATGAAAATACTGTTCTGCTTATACATACACTGTATATCAAAATTAAAAGATAACTGAAAGAAAAAATATGCTCACTGATTAAAGTTTTCCTCCAGTCTCCATAGGTAAAATTATTTTTATTAATTATCTGCAATCAAACACAAAATTGGACTTCTGTGCCTAAGTTAGTGCATGACATATGCAAATTAGGTGACGGATGACCTACTGCACAATGGATGCATGTTGGAATTAAATAGGATGGATTTAAGCAACACAAGCTACTAACAAAAAAATTAAGGATAGTAGCTTTAATAACAAATACTGAGAAAAATATGTTAATTATATTCAAACAGGCAGGAATACTTGCAAATGAAAGAATATTAACAAAACATACATGAAACAAAAACTTTCAAATCAGCTTCTCTTCCTCCTTTGACACTGACAGAAAAATGAGCTATTCGGTTGACTGGTACTAAATCTTGAGTGGAAAGTTCAACGGAATATGATGACTCAGTTGCTTCTACTACTTTAGGGCATCCTTTGATAAAAAAAATATAAAAGAAGTTATTTCTTTGGCATAAAAAATAAAATTTATAAAATTCCAAAATGCAATGTTATAGAAACACCTTTATATTATTTTCAATAATAATTATTCTAAATAAATAAACTGCATAATTAATTACCAGGAACATTTTCTCCATTAAACTTCATATCAATGGTATGTGGTCCAGAAGATTCAGGTCGAAAACTCACAAGACAGCGGCCATTTCCCAAAACTTGAACTTGATTTGGTACTTTTCCATCATTAACTGAGATTTCCAACTGACCTTCACCAGCTAGAGATGCATCAACTTAAAAACAGATTTCTTCTTTTAAACATAATACAATTGCTTAAACAGATATTAAAAAAAAAACTTCAACATTTTTACTTTTTATATATAAAACAAGTAACTTCTCAGTTGCATATCTTTCATGAATGAAATAAACAGTTAACGTCAGGAAAATTTAAAATTTCTGTAATTTAACTGTCTGTAACACATTTTCTGACTGACAGACAGACTTAATGAAGAATTTACACTCAAAATTTGTCTTTCATAATGTCATATATATAACACATCAACAAAGTTTTGTACTAAGCAACAAATGAAACTGGTTTCACTTTAGCTTGAAATAGGTACAGCTAGATAAAATCATTTTAACTAGAACTTATTCATAATTTTAAAATAATTCTGATGTTTACATATTTTAATATATCATTTATGATAAGAAACACTGGCTCTGAGGTGAAGCACAAACTGACAGCGTCAACAGCGGAAGATCATACATGTGATTCAGATTCCATGCTTTCAAGTTATAATGATCCTGCTGAGTTTTTGTTGCAGATACTGTTAGTCACAAAAAGAGCTCGTATTCGTACTCTTCTTACAGGCCCACCAGTGGCCAAGCAGTAAAGTCGCTGAACACTGGTAGTCCAAGATTTCAATCCTGAAAACCAGCTGACTGCATGGGTGTTTTCATGGTTTCCTCCATGTGTAATGTGTATATGAATCACTTTCCCTCAAAGTCCTCCACGAAGGCATCCTTTTCCTTAGGCAGTTAGCCCTCGAGGCTTTGCCGTAATCACATAAACCAAACCCAATGATTACATGCTGAATTCAACAGTTGGAAAATGGGAATTAAAACCATCAAGGTCAGTTTATAAATGATACATTGTTTGAGGGTAGCACTTTGAGAAGAAATCATGATGATATGCATTAAAGATTAATGGATTAAATGGTAATTATTCTTGCAAAATGGAAGTTTTAGATCAACCAGTAATTTATTGCACTCTGTCGAAATTGAAAGAAGTGATTCATTTAACAGAACTTCATGAAAATGGTATACAGTTGCATGACATGGGAAGAAATTCTCCTCAAACAGAACTATTGATAGGGGCTGATTATGCAGAAAAATTTTTGCTAGATTGACATATCAGTTGAAATGTGGATTCATTTCTATGAAGATACATTTAGGATGGTTAATAATGGGAAAACCAGAAGAGAAGTATGTCAGTCGTTGCATCACATCTCTGTTGGTTCGAATTAATGATACTGCTAATTTGTGGAATCTTGAAGGTATTTACAAGCAGTAGGTATTTACAATCCTTGTGAGTGGAGAAATAAAGAATGTTAGAACAAGTCACCTTAGGTCATTTTAGAGAGACTCTTTATAACAATAATGACGGAAGATATGAAATTGATCTTCTTTGGGTAAAAAGTAAGTTGGATCTACTAAGTAACAGAGAAGGGGCAGAAGGTCATTTAAATTTCATTACTTCCAAGTTGAGAACAGATGATAAATTTGATGCCTATGATGGAGTATTCAAAGAATGGTTGACTGACAATATTACTGAAGAAGATGCAGAAGGTCCTGGCTAATATCTGTCTCACTGTGGAGTATCAAAGAAAATTCCACACATTTGATGCATCCTCGAAGCAAACAAAAATAAACCTGTCTTTGAATGACTGAAGGGGCTTAACTATTTAGAACAAATTCTATCAGAGTTCATGAAATTTTCTCAAGAAAGAGGTTAGGTTAGGTTATTTAATTACGGCAAAGCCTCGAGGGCTATCTGCCTAAGGGGAGGGATGTCTTCATGGAGGACTTTCTAAGGGAAACTGGCTCGTATAAACGTTACACATGGGGAAAACTATGAAACACCCATGCAGCCAGCCCATTCGCGGGATTCAAACCTCAGACCGAACTACCAGTGTTCAGTGACTTTACCGCTCGGCCGCTGGTTGGCTTTCTCAAGAAGAAATTGAAATGATATCTGATTTAAAGAAGGCTTTTCTCCAAATTTTTGCACCCAAACAATATCATGAATACCTGGAATTGCTCTGGCGGGGTCAAGTTGGCAGATAAAGGTGTTTCAACACTACAAAGCTGTTTTTGGTTTAAACTGCAATCCATTTTTATTAAGTACAGTTTTATAATTTCATTTAGAAAATGCATTCCTAACTTCACCAAGTATCTTTCACTATTAAAGTTGTTGAAAAGCTTAATTCTTCCTTTTGTGTGGACAACTGAATCACCTCACTTAAAAACAAGGAAGAATTAAAATAATTTATAAAGCTTTCAACTAAGGTTTCAGAAGCCAAATTTGACCTACGAGGGTGGGAGCATATCGATATGGAAGAATTAAAAGGATTCTTTGACACTTGAAAAGTGTCAATTCAAAGATGTCTTCTATATTAGGCTTAACATGAAACAGATCAACAGTTACACTTAGATGTTACATATCCACCATAGATAAGAACTGAGACCCTGTTTCAAGATGGAGCATGCTGTCTCTCATGCACAGGATTTTTGATCTAATTAGATTTTCTTGTTCTGGCAAGCTAAACATCTAAATTGAGCTAGGATTCAGAGGTACCTGATTACATTTTTAAAAAAATTCCTTAAATGGGTAGAAAATGTACATCTGCTGCACTTTGTGGAAATTCCCAAACATGTTTTTTTTCCTAAGCACTCAGAAACGAGTCTACACACTTTTTCAGATGTTTGCAGTACTTATGCTGCTGTTGTTTCCTTAAGATGTCTATCCAATCAAAAGGTTTTTGTATAGTTATTGATGTCAAAATTGAGAATAGCACCTTTGTAAGAAATATCTATACCCAGGTTAGAACTTTTATCTTGCTTTGCATTCAGCTAGGCATATTTGTGAAGACAAGCCTCAGACTTGAAAACATTATTAAATATTTCTGGACAGATTCAATCACAGCTTTTTAGTGGATAATGACAGATGATGCCTGGAGAGTATTTGTATGAAGTATGGTCAATGAAATTCATAGGTTGACTCGAGTGCAAGAAGGGAAATACATTCCCAGACCACATAATCCAACTGATTTACCTTCAAGAGAATGTTCAGCAGCAAAGCTGCTTTTTTTTTAGATGGTTGAAGAGACCTACTTGGTTACGACTCGATCAAAAGGATAGGACAAAAACAGATGGCTTTTGATGAAAGGAGAGTCATAAAGAAAAGATTACATGTATTTACTTTCACAGTAAATGAATCTAGCGCAAGTGACAACTTCGCATCTTACTTTTCAAGTTTATAAAAATCATCAAAATGTTAGGCTGGATTTTGAGATTTCTCATGAACTTAAAAAAATGATCTGAAAAGGGGTCATTAGGTGTAAATGAGATAAATGAAGCAGAGAAGAGGATTAACAAAACTGTGCAAAATTATGTCTTATCAGAGCAGCATATTAAAGGTTTGAAATCATTAAATATGTTCAAGGATGAAGAATGGATTTATAGCATCAAGACCAAACTAATGGAGGCAGATGATATGCAAGACTTCAAGTTTCCTTTCCTTTTTCCTTTTGTATCAGGGAAACACATTTGAAAATGAAACATGACAAGTCACACATTTTATCATCTTGTTTATGAGAGAAGTTTTGGATTGTTAAAGGAAGAAAATCTATTTCCCAAGCAGTCCAGAGTTGTACAAGATGTAAAAGGCACAATTCCAAAACTCTAAAAACTCCTCCAGCTCCTTTTGCAAGATATGCTCAGAGGTAACATACATCTGACAAAATTAAAGATGCTTTGACATTTGAAGTCACAGGAATTGATCTTGCTGGACTTCTGATACTGAACCCAGAAAGAAAAGGATGGATTATATTACATAAGTAGTGGAAAATGAGAGTTCTGCATCAGTGGGTCAGAGGCATGCCTAGTGATGTCACAGGTGCAGTGTTATCCATGACATCACAACAGATGCCAATGATGTCACACGTGGAGACAAAACTGCTGATTGAGTTGTACATCATCTGCTGGTATATTTAATTCCTCATTTTAATTTAGCTTTTCAAAATTGGCAATGGATCAAGGGGATATTGGTTCTGGAAGAGAATGCTCATGGGGCTCTCTATGGATGAAAAAAAAAGAGAATTGTGTATTTTAGAATTTTTTAAAGTCTGTGGTTAAAACCATTCAGAGTGCATCGCTGAAAACAATGTATGACAGTAAGAATATAAACAGAACTCATCGCTAATGGCGATTCATCATCTCAGGACAATCAATTTTCTTCATTTTTTAAAAATTTATTATTCTGCTTAAATTTATATATTTTTATTCTTTCAAGTTTTCCATCAAATTTTAGTTTTAAATTATTTTTTGTATTTGCTGTAGTTTGTTTTAATACTTAACGTTCCTAATCTGCTATATTTTATTTAATTTTACATAGATTTTTCTCGTACCTTACATAATTTTTAACATATTTTGATTATACTAATGTTAAATATACTCTGAATATTAATTTATGTGTTATATTTTATGCATGTGTTATATTATTTAATTTTAGAAGAAATTTCACACTTATTTTTAGTGTTATAGTTTTCAACATCTTATGAATTTTAACTTATTTCTTATATTTTCCCATCCTATATACTTACTATTATGTTGGCCATCATATATTCTTGCTTTATAATAGCAATTACAATATACAATTACTATATTTAATTTTAAACATAATTTTTAACTTTCCTGTTATTTTTTTAGATTTCTAATTTTTCCCCCTTACACTCTTTAATTTTAACTTATCTGTTATAAATTCTGCTTATAAATATTTCCCCTCAATCTTAGCTATTATGCTATACTTACTATTATGTTGCCCATCATATATTCTTACTTTATAATAGCGATTACTATATACAATTATTATATTTAATTTTAAACATAATTTTTAACTTTCCTGTTTTTTTTTTTTTTTTTTTTTAGATTTCTAGTTTTTCCCCCTTACACTCTTTAATTTTTACTTATTTGTTATAAATTCTGCTTATAAAGATTTACTCTCAATCTTAGC